GACACCTCAATTACGAGGCAGAAAGACGAACCCTATTTGAAGATACAGTACCTAGTTCTAGTGGGCATCTCAGCTCCAAACTCATTCTTATCGACAATCGGCAAAGCAAAAAGGCTTGAATCATGCTCCCAGATGTTAAGGCATCGGATAATGTCTGCAAACCGTGCTATTGCCTTTTCTGCTTTACGCCCGCTGGTCCAGGCCCAGCATGGACGCTCTTTCGCGAAGTCAGGGTGCCTCATCGAGCGTGCCTTCCATATCGAAGCAACTTGCCCTACCGATTTCGTACTGGCTGATGGGAGACTGTTGCCACAGGCGACCCTGAGTGTCTTTAATGTTAAGGAACTTCAAGACTCTTGCGTGTCTGTTTCAAGACACATCATTACTTTGCTCGGTTTTGGATTAAACTCGAGTGATTTGAAGAGTAGTGCTTGCTCCATCGTTTGACGGCTCTCCAACCTGTAACTGCTCTGGTCGGTGCGTCGTTATTTATTGTCAGCTTGAGCAGATCATCTGGCGGCCCGGGCCTGCTCTATTCGCTCTCCAAGCACATCTTAACGCGAGCAGGTAACTAGCCCTAGCAACGAAGCGAAGGTCTACAAATCGACCGGTTAATCGATGCACAGCTAGGCCTCCAGTTGATCAAGCAAGCCTGCGACAAGTGGTTGCTTACTGAAGCTCCAGTCGAACGTCTTGACTTTATTGCATTCTCAACGCTATCACTGGACTTTGGAAGGAAGACCTACATACAGCATCTAGTGATGGCTGAAAGTAGTAGTTCGGTTTTTCAGGACCCGTGGACCACCACAGATGTGAGTGTGTTCATCAGGTAAATGCACTAGATTTGATCTCACAAGAAGCCTAGATCATATATCTTTCTATCATCTCCCCGATGGTACTGGCAGCATTCTTGGAATGGTTCCTCTGGATTGCTGCGTTCTTATACTGCCTTGCAAAGGTCTACCAAAAAGCAGATCACTGGAGTGTCAGATTCCTCGCGGTCACCATGATTGTCCTTTTCACATTATTTAGGTGAGTTTCAATAGGGCAAGCCTTCTCGAACAGATCATCCATGCTAATTTGGCACACAGGGGAATTTTTCTGCCTGTCATGATCGTGACGCTCCCTCTCCCAGCTCATTTGAGACAACGCTTCCCCGCTCAGATTGTATTTACGCTCCAATGGTTCGCCTTCGGGATGTTTTCCGCCCTGCTTATAATCCCTTGGCTATTGTGCGTTTACAGACTGGTGACACATTCACCGGGCAGAACCAAGCGGATCAAACAAGTTTTGGATGATCGAACTGCTCCCAAAACAGTTGTTGTTATGCCAGTCTATAAGGAGGCCCCTGAAACGTTAATAAGGGCAATTGATTCTGTGGTTGACTGTGATTATCCGGCTAACTGTATCCATGTGTTCCTCTCTTACGATGGGTGCCTCATTGACGAATCCTATCTTCGGGTGATTGACCACCTTGGAATACCAATCACGCTGAACAGCTATCCACAAAGCATAGACGTGACATACAAGGGCGCCAGAATTACGGTGTCTCGTTTCAAACATGGGGGGAAACGACATTGCCAGAAGCAAACGTTCAGATTGATCGACATGGTATATGCGGATTATCTGGAGCGCCACGACAACCTTTTCGTGCTATTCATTGATTCCGACTGCATCCTTGACCGTGTATGTCTGCAAAACTTCATGTACGATATGGAGTTAAAGCCAGGGAGCAAACACGACATGTTGGCAATGACGGGTGTCATTACATCGACCACGGATCAGGGCTCGCTCCTCACGCTTTTGCAGGACATGGAGTATGTCCATGGGCAACTTTTCGAGCGCTCTGTGGAATCTAGCTGCGGCGCCGTGACTTGCCTCCCCGGCGCTTTGACGATCCTCCGTTTCTCTGCCTTTCGTAAAATGGCCAAGTACTACTTCGCCGACAAAGCCGAGCAATGCGAGGACTTTTTTGACTATGGGAAGTGTCATCTTGGAGAAGATCGCTGGCTCACGCACCTATTCATGGTAGGCGCTCGTAAGCGTTATCAAATCCAGATGTGCGCAGGCGCTTTTTGCAAGACCGAGGCAGTCCAGACATTCAGCAGTCTTTTAAAGCAGCGTCGGCGCTGGTTTCTGGGCTTCATAACCAATGAAGTGTGCATGCTGACTGACGTGCGGCTTTGGAAGCGTTACCCCCTCCTCTGCCTGGTCCGTTTTATGCAAAACACAATCCGAACAACTGCACTGCTTTTTTTCATCATCGCGCTCTCACTTATAACAACGTCCAGCAGCATCAATGACCTGCCCGTGGGATTTATTGCCATATCGCTAGGACTCAACTACGCCCTCATGTTCTACTTGGGTGCGAAGCTCAAGCGCTACAAAGCTTGGCTTTTCCCGCTGATGTTTATCCTAAATCCCTTCTTCAACTGGCTGTATATGGTGTATGGAATCCTAACTGCGGGCCAACGTACATGGGGAGGACCGAGAGCCGATGCCGCCACCGCCGATGAGCATACCTCGCCTGAGGAGGCCATCGAACAGGCTAAGGCTCAAGGCGACGAGCTCAATGTCGATCTGACTACTTTCCGTTCCAGAGGGGACGAGAAGAGCGTTCCAATCCACCCCTCAGAAAAGATCGAAGGGCGCTTCTCTGCACCAGAGGTCCCCGACAGTTACTACTCGAACCAGAACGACTCCAACGCTGCCCTGGCCGAGCTGATGACGCCTCTTCCCAGTGTGCCTCGGATAGGTATCCATGCACATCCGTCCTCCGACTCAATCATAACCTCGGACTCGCTGAGCTCGATCCACCTTCCCCTTAAGGTTGAAGAGCTGACAGGTGATAATGACAATATGAAACCCTGTTTCGATCGGCAAGCAATGGACACGTCGAGTTTGCACCAGATGCAGAGGACTTGTTCTAACGAAATCATGACCAGTGAATCATGCTCTTCACAAGGAAATGCTTGCGAGATGGTAAACAAGAGTTGGGTATTGTCACCATCAGCTCATATCCTGCCGCACTCATCACAAGCCACGGAGTCGTCATCCGGAGAGGATATATACCCACTTCACTTGCCAGCACCACACGAACAAGAGACACGGTTTGCTCCTATCAGCATTTCAACCAAAGGTCCAATGGAAAGAAACACCGCAGAGGTACAGCGACCTCGCCGTAAGCTTCCCGGGATTCCACGGCCTATCAAAGCACAGAAAGATCCCGAAAGTATGGTGTAGGATAATTGCACACCTCGTAAGGCATTTGTGTCATAGTCCAAGCTCACGTGTCCTAGAGAAGCGGGTCCATGCACGTTGATGGTCAGTCGAGAAAGCTCCACGCTTGGAGATTACCCTTACGGTTTTAAGAGATTCGGTCGGCCTTTGCAGAACAATTATGTTGCTTTCTTATCCTTTTATTTTGGAGCTCCTTCGAGAAACACTTTTTGTGCTTCATGCTTTGTCGTCCGGCCTTATGCATGTCGCTTTGAGAACAAGAAGTAGCGCACTCTTTCTAGACTAATTTATTGGCCTTATTTGCTTGGGTAGCAGAGTATATAACTTCTCGAGAAGAAGCATAGTCCTACCAACCACTAGCCAGAGACGACTTTCCAGAGTAAGCGTAACTGAAGCAGTGGCGCCTATCTGGGATTCTGAGGTCATTTGCAAGCTCTGCCTGCCCTCGCCAATTGCAACATTCAGACATTACGGCCTCAAGTACGGATTTCCATTCAGAGATACGAAGACGTCCAAGAGATCATAGACTCAATTCCTTCGGGGAAGATCTTTGACGGCAAGCCTTTCACTGCGCTGATTCCCTGCTGGAGAAAAACCACAAATCTCTTGCCTTCGCTACCCGCTCCGCTGCCTGAAACGGTAGATTGACTTACATGGAGCATACTCATGCCAGTACTACTGCCCTGGATTGCACGTACCCGTGGTCTTGAAGGAGATTGGCCGTTCTCTGCTCAAGCCTGCCAATGCGGGACGAAGATGGGCAGTTGAGAGCTATGTGCTAAGAGGGTTATCTCGAGCTGAGTAAGCAAATCGAACACAACCGCGCTGTGCGTACAGCTAGACAGCTAAACAGTTTCTTATCGCGGGCAGTGACCTTCGCTTCTTGTCGGCTGTGTCGCAAGCCTTCCTGACTATCGCCAGGGCACACTTGGGTACCTTGAACCAATCTTAGGAGGAATAGAGGCAGAACGGCTCCTGACATAACGCCATGCATGCAAGTTCTCTTCAAGGCAATTCTCCCGGTGACAGCCTGGTTAGAGACGTCCAAAAGGTCATGGACAAGTCATGCAATTATCGCTGCCAAGATCCATTACCTGATGGTTAATAACAGTTTGCCTTGGCCCATCCCACTTCTTTCTGTACTGTTAGTCAAATCGATGGTGATTGGTCAGGTGACTACTAATTTAAGGTAATCGATAAGGTGGCGGAACCCCGCCAAAAGCGGTGAGCCAAGGACAGTGATACTGCCGGGAAGCCCCCCCTAAGGCGGTGTGACGTGGGAAGATTCGAGCATAAGCCAGAAGGTTCGACAGGCAGCACAAGGGACATTGCTTGGGCTTCAGGAACAGGCATAACTAAGAGTAATTGCCCCAGATTGAGTCAGATTTCTGGGAGGTAGAGCAGTATAAGAAAACTTATGAGATTGATGATTGTGTGCCCATTGCCAGTATAAGAATCCTCAATTTACTGCAGATCGTACATGCCCAAAATTGTCAGGAAGAAAAAAATCTGACCGACCGCTCTGACGACACAAAAGAACCCACGTTTGGCCCTAGCCACAGCTCATCCGCTTATCACCGCGCCCCGATAGCAGTGGCGCTATTGCAAATTCTCCCCTCTTCGCTCTTTTCTTGCTTAGGATCTTCCAACGTTTCCCTCCAACCTCAATATAGACAACATCCTCCCCTCAACACTTACCCCCGCACCATACCCCCTTTCTTACGGTCCGATTCATATCCATCGCCTAATTTATCCACACAATGAGTGTCGTCGGTATCGATTTCGGTGCCCAGAGCACCAAGGTTGGTGTTGCACGGAACAAGGGTATTGATATTGTGCGTATATGCCCCTCAGCTCCATTTGTTCATATTTTGAATCAATTGCTGGAACAGCTCGCGCTAACGCTATTGTCTATCCACAGATCACCAATGAAGTCTCCAACAGATCTACTCCGTATGTGCAAACTTTCCATCAGATCTCTGCCCTCAGATTGTAGTGCTGACTATATTTTCAATGTAGGACTCTGGTCGGATTCGGCGCCAGAAGCAGAAACATTGGCGAGGGCGCAAAGACACAAGAAATGTCCAACCTGAAGAACACGGTCGGCAATCTCAAGCGTCTCATCGGCCGTTCATTCAGCGACCCCGACGTGGAGATTGAGCAGAAGTACACCTCAGCGGCTCTCTGTGATGTAAACGGTCAGGCTGGTGTTGAAGTGAGCTACCTGGGCAAGAAGGAGAAGTTCTCGGCGACACAGCTGGCTGCCATGTACCTGACCAAGATCAGAGACATCACATCCAAGGAGCTGAAGCTCCCTGTCTCCGACGTCACAATCAGCGTTCCCGCTTGGTTCACAGATGCTCAGCGCCGCGCCATGATCGACGCCGGTGAGATTGCCGGTCTCAAGGTTCTGAGACTCATCAATGACACCACTGCTACCGCCCTCGGCTACGGTATCACCAAGCTTGATCTTCCCGGTCCCGAGGAGAAGCCCCGCAGGGTGATGTTCGTCGATATCGGTCACAGCGACTACACCGCCTCCATTGTTGAGTTCAGAAAGGGCGAGCTCAACGTCAAGGCTACCGCCTACGATCGCCACTTTGGTGGTCGTGATTTCGACAGAGCCCTTACCGAGCACTTTGCCGATGAATTTAAGGAGAAGTTCAAGATTGACGTCCGTTCCAATCCCAAGGCTTACGCGCGTACCCTTGCCGCGGCCGAGAAGATGAAGAAGGTTCTCTCCGCCAACCCTGCTGCCCCTATGAGCATCGAGTCGCTTATGGAAGACGTGGATGTCCGTTCCATCGTCAAGCGTGAGGAGCTCGAAACCATGGTCAAGCCTCTGCTTGAGCGTGTCACCGCCCCCATTGAGGAGGTTCTTGCTGAGGCCAAGCTCAAGACCGAGGACATTGACTCGATCGAGATGGTTGGTGGCTGCACCCGTGTCCCTGCTATCAAGGACGCCATCGCCAAGTTTTTCGGCAAGACCCTGTCCTTCACCCTCAACCAGGACGAGGCCATTGCTCGTGGTTGCGCCTTCAGCTGTGCCATCCTCTCTCCCGTCTTCCGTGTCCGTGACTTCTCCGTGCACGACATTGTCAACTACCCCATCGAGTTCACCTGGGAGCAGTCGGCCGACATCCCCGACGAGGACACTAGCCTCACTGTCTTCAACCGTGGCAACGTCATGCCTTCGACCAAGATCCTCACATTCTACCGCAAGCAGCCTTTCGATTTGGAGGCTCGCTATGCTAAGCCCGACATGCTTCCTGGCAAGATCAACCCCTGGATTGGCCGCTTCTCCGTCAAGGGTGTCAAGGCTGATGCCAACGACGACTTCATGATCTGCAAGCTCAAGGCTAGACTGAACCTGCACGGTATCCTGAACGTCGAGTCTGGTTACTACGTTGAGGATGTGGAGGTTGAGGAGCCCGTTGACGAGGACAAGATGGACACTGATGCTGCCGAGGGCGAGCAGCCCAAGAAGACGCGCAAGGTCAAGAAGCAGGTTCGCAAGGGTGACCTTCCCATCTCCTCCGGCACCACCGGCGTTGAGCAGACCGTCAAGGAGACCTGGATCGAGCGTGAGAACGCCATGTACATGGAGGACAAGTTGATCGCCGAGACCGACGAGAAGAAGAACGAGCTCGAGTCGACCATTTACGAGCTCCGTGACAAGATCGACGGCATCTATGCCGAATTTGCCAACGAGGAGGAGAAGGACAAGCTGCGTGCCAAGCTGACCGACATGGAGGTGAGTACAACGTTCACGAGTTCATTACAGACCGCAAGGGACCCGAAGCTGACGTTCTACATAGGATTGGCTCTACGAGGAGGGTGAAGACACTACCAAGTCCGTCTACGTTGCCAAGCTGGATGAGATCCGCTTCATTGCTGGTCCCATCGTCCAGCGGTACAAGGAGAAGATCGAGGGCGAGCGCCAGGCTATCCTGAAGGCCCAGGAGGAAGAGGCCGCCAAGAAGCGCGCCGAAGAGGAGGCCAAGCGCAAGGCGGAGGAAGAGGCCAAGAAGGCGGAGACCAAGCCTGACGAGGAGATGAAGGATGCTCCCGCAGAAGGCGAGGCGGCCCCCGCCGAGGGCGAGGACAAGCAGTGAAGAAAAGTCTTTTACCCTTTCGATATCAATGAGTACGACTGTCGCATATAAAGCCTGATGACAAATGGCCATGAAACGGCGAAGCAATACATCCGATACATGGATTCTCTTTTCTTGTGAACTTGTTACATCTTCTCTGTTACTTTTATGCTGTAGAATGTTGTCTTGGTGGTATTGTTTTTCACAACCTACCTAATCATCTCTTGGCGCTGACACCTTCATGCGAGCGGCTGAACTGAAGCTGCGGCTCGCCTGACTGTCGCCATATTAGATTATGATTCATGAGGTGGGGAAGCACACAACAGACGACTTAGATATATGAAGCGTGGATAGAGTTCAGGCAGCCAAATTGTTATCTTGTTTTCTTCGAGTCCATCATTTGATGTCACCATGTACAACATAATGCTTCTATCCTCCCGACTTGACGTGTCATATCACTTGACCTTCGCCAGGTCGATCTCGTGTTTTCGTCTCTGTTTTCTGATGAATGAGGTTAGCTCCTCGTGCGGAAACGCCACAGCCCGTCAACCGAGTCTGGACTGCTTAAAATCCGGCGGAGCGACTCATTGAACCCTTCCGAATCCAAGGGTCTTGGCGGGTGTTTCAAGGATGACGCGCCGTCATGGTCATGTTCAGCTCCTTAACAGCGAGTCGGTAGATACGTCTTAAATCCGTTGACTCCGCCCTATGGAGCCAGGAGCTTGGACTGTGGTGGTGGATTTTTCTAGCACAGCTTGTACCATACTAGTGGCACAGTTACCATGGGATCCCTGGAGGGAAGCTCAAAGCTGAGCATATTCCATTTACGTATTGATAGTGGCTGATGACTCATGCATTGTCGCCTAGATCTGATAGCGACACAGGATATTGTTGTATTAGCCAATTAGGCTCCAGCATGCCCACATCGTTATGACTTTGCAACGGAGGTGAAACCTGAATCCATTAAGCGAAGACTACCTATTTCTAAGCTACCGGATGATTCCAGAATCTCCTGCCTCCCACTCCTGAGATTGAACAACAAGCAGAACCACTTGCTCAAGCCACTCAAGTCACTCAAGCCATGAATCCATGAATCAATGCAACTTACTCATTTGCTTTGAGATGCAAATTTCAAAACAATCTGCTAGTGGAGAAGTCAATGAAATATAATACTGTACCAGCTGTGACTCATGGCACAAAGCCTCATTGGTCATCGATCTGGCGCCGAGTATGGCCGACCCGTATCATTGGCTGCTTGTTGCCCGGGTTCACCCTCGTATTTGGGTCTTCTCAGGAAAGTCACCCCTTGTACCCAGGGTCAAAGAGATTGGTAATGCTGAACGTCGGCAGGTTCTGCGGCCGATGTCCGATGCCAGAATTTCCTGTTAGGGTAAAGATGATTCTCATTTTTCGTATAGGAGATTAATGTTATGGTCATGGACGGCGTGAGCCTCCTAAAAAAAAAAATCCTCTGACATGGGTAGGACCGATTCCTCCGTCCCCCGATCTAGCTCGTAATTACGGAGCAACTGGAGGAGAGACAGAAAGAGAAAATTCTTATATAACATCGCAAGAACGGACCCTGTGTAGTTGAATTGTCAGCTTTCTCAACTGAGGTGAACACTAGACAGCACTCCTGACAGTCTCTTTTTCCGCTTGAAGGGATCACCTTGCGCCGGTACATCTTATCTTGCTCATCACATCCCAACCTAGATACTTCAGCAACAGACGAATCAAAATGACAACGTCAGCGTCCAGCGTCACGGACGTCGACATCGAGAATGTCCCGAAGGAAAAACTGGACGTCAAGGAAACCGAAAATGAACCTGAGATCGAATACCCTCCACTCTCCAAAGTTGTCGTCATCATCCTCGGTTTGTATCTCGCTGTCTTCCTGGTAGCCCTCGACCAGACCATTATCGGAGTCGCCATCCCCAAGATCACCGATAAGTTCAAGAGTATTGAAGATATTGCCTGGTATGGCAGTGCCTACTTCCTCACGTCAACTGCGCTGCAACCGTCGTACGGTCGCATCTATAAGATCTTTAGTGTTGGTTCCCCCCCGTGCTGAATGTGCTGACTGCTGGGTCGTTGCTAATGGGTGAAACTGTATAGGTCAAATGGGGCTTCCTGGTAGCTGTCTTGATCTTCGAAATCGGATCGCTCATCTGCGCTGTAGCGCCGTCGAGTACCGTTTTGATCGTTGGCCGAGCCATTGCGGGTATCGGTGTTGCGGGTATCTTTTCTGGCGCCATGGTCATCATCTCAGTGACTGGTAGGTCATTCTGCGTATGGTCTTGGAACAAGGCCAAGCTGACTCTGAATAGTCCCATTGCCTAAGCGACCTCTTGTTTTCGGTATGTTTGGCATGGTCTGGGGTATTGCCTCGATTGCCGGACCATTGCTCGGTGGTGCGTTCACCGATGGTGTTTCCTGGCGATGGTGCTTCTATATCAAGTGAGTGGCGCCGCATACCCTTTCCACCTCTGCCAAAAGAAAATACTGACCGCCGCAGTCTTCCCATTGGAGGTATCTCGCTCGCCGTCATCCTGTTTGTTCTCCGACTCCCCGATAAGAACGAGTTCACCGGCACTCCCATCCTCGAACGGATCCAGCAGCTGGACCTTATTGGCGCCGGTCTACTCATCCCTGCCATCATCTGCCTCTTACTCGCCTTGCAGTGGGGAGGAAACAAGTACCCCTGGAACAACTCGCGGATCATCGGCCTGTTCGTCGGCTTCGGCCTCATGGCTATCCTCTTTGCATTCTCGCAGGTCAAGATGGGTGACAAGGCCACCCTGCCCCCGCGCATGTTCAAGAACCGCTCCGTCCTCAGCGCCACGCTCTATGCTCTGTTATTCGGCGGTGCCTTCTTCGTCCTCGTCTACTACCTGCCCATCTTCTTCCAGAGCGTCAAGGGCTCTTCGGCCATGAAGTCCGGCATCCAACTCCTGCCCCTGATGCTGGCCACCGTCGTGTCCTCGGTGGTCATGGGCGGCGCCGTCACCGCCGTGGGCTACTACACGCCGTTCCTGATCGGTAGCACTGCCATCGCCGCCATCGGAGCCGGTCTCATCACCATGTACGAGATCGACATCTCCACGGGCAAGTGGATCGGCTACCAGATCGTCCTGGGCGCAGGTGTCGGCGCCGGGTTCCAGATCCCCATGACGGCCGTCCAGACCGTCCTACCGGCAGAGGATATCCCCATCGGCACGGCGGCCGTCATGTTCTTCCAGACGCTGGGCGGCGCACTGTTCATCGCGGTGGCGCAGTCCGTTTTCCAGAACGGCCTGATCTCCGGGCTGGCCAAGTACGCCCCTGCTGTTGACCCAATGGCGATTGTCAAGGGGGGCGCCACGGAGATGAGAAGCGTGCTGGCTGGGTCGGGCCAGTCGGACCAGCTCATGGGCGTGATCAAGGCCTACATGAGTGGATTGCGGGATTCATATCGTGTCAGTTTGGCGCTGGTGGTGGTTGCGTTTGCTGTCAGCTTGTTGATGGAGTGGAAGAGCGTCAAGACGAACAATGGGGAGAAGAAGGATGTCGTGGTGGCTGCCATTTAAAGTGGTCATCATCCTTCTTCTTTTTCGTTCTTCATTCTTCATTCTTAAGGCAAAAACCAACATAGATCCGGATTGTTAGAAAACTGGCGGGAATGGGCGGATGGGCTTCTTATTAACTAACGACCTTGTTTCATGATCTGTACCTAATTATGCCCTTCTGTTTATATTATACTAATGTCTACTCCACTCGATTTCTCTGTGCCAGACATCTGCTCCGGAGCCTCCGGAGCCTCCGGAGTCCCAGTTGTAAATAATTTATGCTACAAGTTTGGTGCATAAGGCCTTGCATGCCATGCATTGTGGTGCCTGGATAAAATGGCACCTATTCTGCCGAGACTTTGTACTCCAACTGCCCAGTGCCCAGAGCCTTGGACAGCCAGACAACTCCATCCAGCATACCCAAGAGGTGGAGTGGAGTCGGTCTTCGCTGTTGCGTTACATCTTTGGCTAGAATTTGAATGTAACAATGAATAGATACAGAGTAGAATTTGAGAGGTGATGTAGCTTTTCTAGATGTGAGATTGGTGATTGACTGGTGAAGTGATATTATCAGTATTCTTATTCAATGATCGTTCGGATGATATAGCTGGCGGCTGGGAGGTACATGATTCAGGCAAATAGGAATACCGAGACAACCAGCTGATTTTCAATGGCTGATACTGTTCCTGGCCTAGTCCCTTGGCAGTAATTTAGTCCGTCCCACATCTCAGGCAGGGATGAATATTTTGACTCTAGTATGCCAGAGTCAGGATAAATACTAATGGAGAATTAGACTGCGTAGATTCTGAGTAGACCTTCTGATGCATTATGGTCGTCTTTCAACCTATCCAGCAGGGTAGTACGTAGTACTGTCGTAGGGGGAGGAACAGTGCCAAGTGGACCGAACAAAACCGGAAAGTTGGCACGCGACGAAGGGGGAGGTAAAGAGCCTTGGGAGATGGGGATCATCCATAGTTCCTCATCAAATCACATCCTTGTCTTCCGTTCTGCAAGAACTTTGGTGGTGTTTAGTCTACGAGTACGAACTACGAGTGCAACTACGAACCCTCCATCTCCCTCTTCTCCTGATCTCTTATCCTGATGGTGTGGATAGTTCAGTCCATCATGATGCAACACTCCGCCTAATTCACTTCTTCAACCACGGAATACCCCCTCATCCCTCAGTCGCTCCTTGCCTTGTCACCCCTATCACCAACTGCCCTACTCCAGCATCAGTGGATCGATCTCCCTTTGCCCCCCGTTTTGGGAGAATCTTGGAAAAAGAGCCATGGACGGCGGAGTTGTCGGATCAACCACTGGGGAATGACTGGACCATTGCGATTCTTCATACTCTTTAGTCTCTACCTAACTATCTATTAATCTGCGTGCCCTCGCCTATTCCTTTCTTAGTCTTTCTTTCTTGCTCTCGCTCTAATTACTTATTCTCTATATCTAATCTTATTGCATTAATCGTCA